ATTCAGCACAAAGTAGGGGGCCGGAGGGGGACGGGGAGGAGCCTCTTTCTCTTCCTGGCTTCCCGCACCCCATTTGGAGTGGAGGGAGGTGTCCTGGAGTCAGGGCTCTTGAGAAGCACAGCAATTCTCTGTGGCCACTCATGCTTGGGCCCCATCAGCTGGGAGGGCAGCACTCCCCCCCCTCACCCCGGGCCACAGGGATCCAAAGCCCCAGCCCTGCTGAGCAGTGGTGGGGGCCGGGCGGAGGGCTGGAGGGCCCCCTGGAGCCTGCCGTATCCTGCGTGGCCCCTTGAGAACTAGTAAGGAGGCCATCGTAGCCAGGGTGGAGAAGTCCTGGGGACAGGCAAAGAGGGAGGGCTTGTGGGCCACCGCACGCCTCGGCTTTCTCATCTGTGCAGGGTGCTGTCCTGCCGTCACCGTGTCATTGACAGAATGCCCAAGACTGGGTGATCGGTGAGCAGGTACAGGCCCGCTAGCTGGGAGGTCCCGAGGCATCCCATAATGGCGGAAGCAGAACTCAGGAGAGAGGAGCGTGGCCTGGGTCCCGCTTCCCTCATGAACACGGGATTCCATCATGGGCCGCCCCAGTGACCCTAGCACACCCAAGCCCCTGCCTGGTCGCCACGAAGGGAAGTCTGTACTGACCCCTTTACAGCACGGCTGAGTCCCTACACATGAGCTTCTGGAGGACACCCAGTCACCGCCCACCGAGACCAGAGTCCCAAACACGGATTCTGAGCAGGGGAGTAGCCCCCGACTTAAACTTCCGCTCCCAGCCGTGATGGACTAAGAGGAACTTACTGACCTTCTTGCCTTCAACAGCTAGAAAACTAAACTAAATGTACAAAGCCAGTGTTCAGCTATTGGGCAACTGCACAGGACTGTCACCGGGAGGAGCCTGTGAGCAGCCAGCTCGGCCTGAAGGCAGCTGCCAGACAGGGAGGGCGCGCCCCAGCAAAGCTTCCTGGCCTTGCTGAGTGCAGCAGGGTTAAGGGCGGGAAGACCGCTATGAGCAGAACGTGTAGGGCTGGGGAGCCAGGGAGGACTAACTGCAGAGAGCATGACCAAGGACCACCCAGCGTCTGGCCGAGTACAGATCAGGACGTCTGTGAGAGAACTGCTAGTCCGGAGAAGGGGCCACGGGTGCGGTAGGCTGGATAAGGCTGGGAAGAGTTCACGTTCCTATGAGCTGGAGGGGGCAGGCCTCAGCGTGTCCTCAGAGGGCATTGCCTCTGCACTGGGCCAGATGAGCCTGGAAGGCTGGAGGCTGCCATGGCGCTGCCATAACAGTTTAAAGGCAAGACAAGGATCCGTCTGATTCCAGATAACTATATTCCAAAATGAAATTTAGCACTGTTTATATGAATACAAAAATCCAATATCCAAAAATGTAAAATTCACAGTGTAAATGAAATTCAACACCTTTTATATGAATATGAAATCGAGCAAGTGATGTAAAATTCACAGCGTCTAGCACTGCAATAAAAAGAAGTTAAACAGACTTTCATACCCAATGGTAACAGCCTTGATAAATGAAAGAAGAACACTTTCAGATAAGCCGAAGCTGATCAGATGTGTTGTCAGCAGACCTGCATGTAAGAGGTGTTCATCTGTGTGTGCTCTATGGGCAGAAAGAGAACATCAAAATGTGAATCTGCACAGATAAATGGAGAGTGCTGAAGATGATAAGTATGTAGGTAAAATACTTTTCCTCATGTTTAATCTCTTAAAAAGAAAACTAAAAGAAAAGCACTTATACATATATAAAATTAAAATGTATTTCTTTTTTTTTTTTCTTTTTTTGGAGAGGATTTTTTTTTTTTTTTTTTTTTTTTTTTTTTTCATCAGGGGACG